ATATTTATATTAGAAAAACATTATTCATATATATATATATATATATATATATATATATATATATATATATATATATATATATATATATATATATATATATATTTATATGCATACACACACACACACACATACGCACACGTACATATGTATATATATATATATATATATATATATATATATATATACATATATATATATATATATATATATATATATATATATACATATATACATATATATATATATATATATATATATATATATATATATATATATATATATATATATATGTATATTGTGTATGTATATATTTTATATACACATATACATAATTGTATGTTTATGCATTGTATATATATATATATATATATATATATATATATATATATATATATATATATATATATATATATATATATGTTATGTATATATACAGAGAGAGAGAGATGTACATATATGCAAATACATAAATATAAACAGATATAAATGTATTGACATACACATATCTACCTTATCGGTTTATACATAGCTATACCTATCTATTGTTTTATATATATCTATATCTACCTATCTATTGGATTATATCTATATCTAGCTATCTATTGGTATCTGTATATATGCATACATATAGATGCATGCATATACATATATATATTGTATATATACTGAAAAATAATCTGCGAGAGAGAGAAACTTGAGAGAAAGAGAGAGAGAGAGAGAGAGAGAGAGAGAGAGAGAGAGAGAGAGAGAGAGAGAGAGAGAGAGAGAGAGAGAGAGAGAGAGAGAGAGAGAGAGAGAGAGAGAGAGAGAGAGAAAGAGTTAAAGATATAGACAGCTAAATAGAAGCAGAGAACTAATATAATAATTAAAAGGTTAGAATAAGCTTTAGATCGACATCTAATACGCAAAAGTTAGAGCTCTTGAAATTGGATGCTTAGCCAATCAATGTCAAAGACAAGATCTGCTTTCAGAGTTCCGTGTCTTCCTTCTGGACCAAAGAAAAAAAATATATAATTAATCCTAAACGTGCAAGTTCTGCATCTCGCCATAATTCATCGATTCGAACCCAAAACTTACTTCTCCCATGATGCAACTGCTTTGCTGTGATTGGTGCCCATAAAGTAAACAACAAATATCTAGCCAATCAACAACCAGTATCTGGCTCTGTAGGTGTGTCGCTCTTTGACGTCACTTGTACATCTCGTCGAGCCAGCCAATCAACAATCCTCCTGGAGTCCAGTGTCTAGCACCCTTGATGACGTCTCTTGTACAAGTCAGCTCGAAAGGTTGTACAAGACCGTGCGACATCACCAAGGCAGAATCACAACAACAAGAAGTCGTCATCGTGTGAGGGTCTGGAGGTGACACATCGTCCTCATCCCCTCAGGAAAGTCATGGACGTGGAATTACCCACCGAATATGACGTGATTGTGGTGGGCACAGGTACGTGGAGGCGCCATCGTCTGTCGTTTTGGGAAAGGGAAAAGAGGTGTGAGAGGCAGAGAAAAAGCCCAAAAGGTGTGGTTTTTAGGAAGAAGCTTGATCATTGATCCATCCAACTGGGGAGTTGCTTCTTGAAGATTGATTAACGGGGCTTATTTACCTCTCTTGATTATCCGCCATGTGTTTGCATATGCCAGCTAAAGCGAGAATATGTGATTGGTTTTCCCTGCCCTGTTGGCAAACCGTGAAAATTAGGACGTGAGTGAATGCATGAAGGTGAAAACAGCCACCTGGGCGTGACCAGCTGACTCATGTTCTAGAAGCTTTAATACTTAGTTTTATTCAATAGTTGTAAATTCTCAAAAGAAAGTAAGCATTTTAAGGGAAGATTAGGGTGTTTGTCAATGTTTGTTCATGTTGTTATGACCTGGATTGTGTTTTATTTGTGTTTGTTTCGTTTTGTGTGATGTCTGGGTAACTTTAATCAGCTGTTTATTTGTGGTTAGAATGATTGTGTCATTAACTCTTTATTAGTTTGTTAGAGAGTGGACACTACATGTGAACAAATTATTTTGAGAAAGTTTTTATTTTCAGAATCATTAGATACAGTCTCTACACTTGCAGAAGCTTTTGATAAGGTTGAAAGGTTTTGGGGTCTTAAATAGTGCCACATGATTAAGTTTATGATGATCATGGTGGTGAGTAATGCAGAACTAGCCCCTTATTTATTTCAGACATTTTCTATGTCATGGTCTGTTATATCAAAGGCATGTCAGAGTGAGGTCCAAACAGCTGTTTTTGAGGGTTTCGTGAAAACCTTTTGAAAGATAGTGTTAACCACGTACTTTGGCCGGAAGATCTTTGGCATTTGGTGTAGGGGGGGGGATGTTGCCTCAAGTCAAATGAGTTTGTTTGTGTGTGTTTGAGAGTTTGTTTTATGTGTGTTTGAGAATTCATTTGTGTATTAGTACAAGATCTTTAGCATGTCTTTTACAAGAAGATGGACATTGTAAGGTTATTTTTTTAAATATATACTATTAAGAACTGAAATTTATATAATGAGAAAGTTTTATAAAGGAAGGAAAATAAGATATCAGTGGCAGTGTTGTAAATAGCAAAAGTAAGAGACCTGTGCATAATATTTTAATGATCCAAGAACGGCTATTACATTTTACAGATTATTTAGATCATTGTTTTCATAAGATGAATTATGCAGTTATTCATTAGGTAACTACCAAAGTGATGCTATTCATTGTATCACATCTCAAAAATAATCTCATAAGTGTACAGTTAAAAGAAATGTACCAGTTATATATATATATATATATATATATATATATATATATATATATATATATATATATATATATATATATATATATATATATATATATATATATATATATATATATAATTGATAAAAAGAGATGGTATGAACTTGAACATGAATTACTTATTTTATTTTATTTTGTAATGGGAAAAGAAAAATGAAAACATTTGTTTCATGGTTCTCCTTTTCTCTTTTTTAGGTTTTTGAGATTTTGACTGCAATTTTATTTGATTATTTGATAGACTAGCCTTTAAGTCCTTTGACGCCTTGAGTTAATGTACACATACACAATCCACTGTGGTTTTGTTTTAATAATTTTTTCTTTATCGAGATAACTCCACGAGCATAAAGTCACCGAGTACGTGGTTACTGGGCCTATCTGATTTCATACTCCATTCATTAGGCTTTTATGTT